GTGTGATATCGCCATGAATAAGCCGATATTTTATGTAATTATTATTAATATATTTTCTAATGATCGTACGAATGAGACGCAATGCAACAAAGTGTTAGTGAATGGTACAATTTGAACAACAAAATTGAATATAACAGTAATTATTACTATAATAATTTTATATAATTAATAAATAATAATTGAAGCGAACAAACGAAAGAGTAGAATGATGGTTGGAAGTGAATGAGTAATCGCACGTACGCGCTCGAATCGGATCAAATTATAAAACACCAGTAGCTTCCTCCACTAACGTAGAGCCTTTGTGTAAGCGTCTTGCAAATGTACATGAATTAGCTTCAGTCTCATTACAACCTGCTACCGATCGACAAGTGCGTGATTGTCCATTCACGCTCCACCTTTCAATTATCTGTATAGAAGTTTAAGAATGTGAGTAATAAACAATATTATTTATTAGTACGTAATTTCTATTTCTTCTTTCCAAAATGATTTCTATTTCTCTAATTCAAATATATACTTATTTAAAAATATATATATAACAAAATAAAATCATCAAGTCACTGCCACCATGCAATGAACAGTATTCTGTTTTGCATGTGTGAAAGTGATAATCAAAAATATAGATAAAAGGGTAAATACAGTAAATAAATATATGATTAACACAAATTCAACGATTGCCAGTGCTATGGGCTACTTGAGCTCGGCACAGAATCATGCAAGGCCAGTGCAACTCCCGTTGCATAATAACTATTCCTAATATTATTTCAAACTTTTATTATATTTGACACTTAAAATGCTCATGTCGCCCCCGCGACGTGACAAAATTGGCGACCTAGACCAGAATGATGCGCAAAATCGTTGTAATTTGTGTTTTAATCATGTATATATTTACTCAAAATTTTTTTTTTTACTATTCTGCTATTTTTATTCATTCTTTCTTAAACTATTCTATGACGGAAAGAATGAGAGTATCTTTTAAACTGAAGTTTTAAAGCGTGTGTAAAATACATAAAATTTTTTTTTTCTTTTGTTGAATTGAATTAAAAATTATTTAACTATAAAAGTCATCGTTATGACATCGGCCGCATCGAAGCACATCCGGTAGTAACAAAGACATAACAAATGTTCGCGCATGGACGGACAAGACATTCGACACCTTTAGACAGGCGAGATAACAACTTGCGCGTATTAGTGTACGATGATTTCCAACATGCATTCCTACTAAAATACTTTCAATTTATAATTTTTTTTTTGTATTATTCAAATTTTATCTGTTTTTCACTTGTCTTAAAAGAAAAAATAGCATTATAAGTTATAAATTTTTTTTATACTGTGTTCAAATTAAAGTTGAGATTTTATATTTACATAATTGTTTATAGGCATAACAGCACTTTTGAAATTTTTTATATTTATAATTAGAAAATTTTGTTTGAAAAAAAAAATTGAATTTTAAACATGATTTAATGAAAATTTCATAAATTTAAATGATATTTGATTGATATGATATTCATATTGTTTTTTTTAGAGGAAAAGAAAAAAGTATATTTTTATTAATTATAAATTTAAAATATATTTTTTATAATTCAATAGAATTGGCAAATTAAGAAATGAAAAGAAAGAAGGGCATATATAATAACATATCTGCATTTACCGCATATAAGTTCAAATTAAACGCGAACGAATAATATTGTTACAAGTAATGACGCGTGTATGCATGCTCAAGCATAAAACAATACAAGCATTGCTGCTAAATAGGAGTGACACCAGACGAAGCATTAAGTCATAAGGTGACATGTACAGTCTCTTCTTTCTCCGTTTTTTTTTTTTTTCACACAGTTTTTCTCTTTTATCTTTTTCTATTTCACTTCATTCTTATACTTTTTTATTTTTTTTAAATTTATGTCAATTTAATTTGTAAAAATACAGGGATGGATGACGAAAACCAAGTAATAAAAGCAAAGAAAAATAGTTTTTACGAAAAAAATGCATAAGAAACAATTTGAAGCTATGGCAAAATACATAGTTAAAAGAATACAAATTTTAAAGCTATACGAGAAAAATTAATTTATTTTCTATCAAAAATGTCATCAAGCAAAGAAACAGAAGTTTTTAGCTTATCAGCTCGTGAGATTTTACGTCGTGAATCTCAATAAATTTGAGTTTTAAAAAGAAACTCTACAGTTAATTTACCATTTGTACCCAGACAAGTCAAAAGTATACAATTCCCAAGTAAAAAAAAAAAAAATTTTTTTCTTTTGTCTGTGGTTATAATAATATAGAGAAGTCAATTGTAAATCAATAAAATAATTCAATTGAAATAAAATTATCCAGAGATCATCATTAAAAATACAATGTTATTTAATTTTCCCTTTTCAATGTTTGGATTTAAACATTTAATTACATAAATGTTTAAATGCTGGGAAATTATACATTTTGAGAGAATAGGATTCTAACAAAGAATTTATTCTTTACAATTACAAATTATAAATTTTGAGAGAATAGGATTCTAACAAAGAATTTATTCTTTACAATTACAAATTATAAATTTTGAGAGAATAGGATTCTAAAAAAAGAATTTATTCTTTACAATTACAAATTACAAATTTTGAGAGAATGAGATTCTAGTAAAAGATTCTATTCTTTACAACTTCAAATGCAAATTACAAATTCAAGAGAGAATAAAATTCTAATAAAAGATTTTATTCTATACAATTACAAGTTCAATTACAAAAAAGATAAATAATAAAAATGGGAGAAATAAAATAAATTTCTTTCCGCGTTAATTTTGATTAAGGAATTTTCAGAGGCCTCATAAGAAAATCCTTAATAGTATGTGATCACATAATTTTTGTTTTTTTTGGGTGTACGTATTTACTAAAATAGGACTTGAAATCTATGTCATAACTGCTGGTCGGGAATGAATAAATTTTGAGTAGTTCAATGAGATACGTACTCTTACGAGTTCTTAATACAAGAATTTACAAGGAAATATATGAATTCAGTAATTTGCTAATAAAAAAAAGTACGTGTGCTATCACGTGAAATTCAATAATTATAAATGCGTTAAATAACGATTTATAAGTCAAATGATGATGGATACTAATTTCAATGAAACAATCGACATATGCGTATTGCAAATAGACTTAAATTTTCAGAGCTGAAAAATAAAGATAAAAATAAAAACTTGGTTCTCGTCAAAAGTCTGAATAAGTTAATAAATTATAAATAAATATTAACATATTATTATTTTATAGAATATCGAGTTACACGGCAGTTGAAAAGTTGCAGTCACAACGAATCAAAACACGTCTCTTGAAAAAAAAAGTTGCTTGTCAGAATATGTACCCAGACCGATTTGTATTCGGTGGAAAATAATTTTTTTACTAATGCTTTTTGGTTTACGTTTAGAAAAAATTCACTAAAGAAGAAAACGAAGGTGACAACAAAGAAATAGTTAAAAAGTAGAAATAGTCGTACAAAAAAAGAACAAGTCAAATTTAAAGAAGAAAATTTTAATCCTTTTATTCTGCATAAAGCTTTTACAGACATTAGTATTAACGGAAATTCACAAACAAACCACTGACGAAATGACTGCTTCTGCTACTTATATTAAATTGAAAGATGCAATTGCAATTGTCCCAATATTTGATAAAAAAGAGTTGCTTGAAGATTTTTTAGAATCTGTTGACTATGCGTATGATTTGATTGCGCCTACTGAACGAGCTACTTTTCTTAAACTTGTACAGATAAAAATAGGGTTTGAAGCTAGAAAAATCTTGAAAGATGCAAAATTTACTACTTTGTCGCAATTAAAAGAACACCTTCACGCGTTATACAATTCTGGGCTGACTGTCAGCATGTTACAGAGCTTGCTTGCACAACAAATGCAGCAAGAAAATGAGAGTGTACTTACGTTCGCGAATAGAATCCGTGATTTAGGAAATCAAATTATTCGAGCACAAAAATGCAAAGGGGATGTCCCTGATCATTTTAAAGAAAGCACTAATAAAAGTCAACAAGAAAGTTTTAGAAATGGGCTACTAGATACAATTTCTATACGATTACCAGCCACCAATGATTTGAATGAGTTAATGAAAGAGGCTATTAGAATTGAAAAGTCACTAAACATAAAACGCGAGATGAGAAAAAGATTAGAAAAATAGTAGCATTTGTAATCACACTAATCATATTACCGATAATTGACACAATGACTATGTTGCTATTTTAACTAAAAAAAAGAAAACAAAACGCTACCCATGAAAACTCTTATGCTAGATCATCGCGTATTTATTGTGAAAATCGGGTTATACAAATTGATTAATGTTTTAAGCGGGCTGAAGATATATCTGATAATGCAATTGTAATAGAGTCAAGTAATATTTAAATTAATTGTGCGATTAGGGTAAAGTTAAATTTTTATTATATTTGGGAATAATATTCGTATTGGGTATATAAAAAATGTACTAAAACAAAATTTTTTTTTATAACTTGATCCTAAATCCTTTCTAATTTTACCATCCAAAAAAAAAAAAAAAAAAAAAAAAAAAAAAAAAAAAAAAAAAAAAAAAAAAAAAAAAAAAAAAAAAAAAAAAAAAAAAAAAAAAAAAAAAAAAAAAAAAAAAAAAAAAAAAAAAAAAAAAAAAAAAAAAAAAAAAAAAAAAAAAAAAAAAAAAAAAAAAAAAAAAAAAAAAAAAAAAAAAAAAAAAAAAAAAAAAAAAAAAAAAAAAAAAAAAAAAAAAAAAAAAAAAAAAAAAAAAAAAAAAAAAAAAAAAAAAAAAAAAAAAAAAAAAAAAAAAAAAAAAAAAAAAAAAAAAAAAAAAAAAAAAAAAAAAAAAAAAAAAAAAAAAAAAAAAAAAAAAAAAAAAAAAAAAAAAAAAAAAAAAAAAAAAAAAAAAAAAAAAAAAAAAAAAAAAAAAAAAAAAAAAAAAAAAAAAAAAAAAAAAAAAAAAAAAAAAAAAAAAAAAAAAAAAAAAAAAAAAAAAAAAAAAAAAAAACATATAATAAAAATAAAAATAAAAATGAATCAACAAGCGAAAGCGAGGAATAATCACAAAAAGATAACCAATCATCACCATCAAAGGCATTGGATTTTATGAAATTAAAAGCAAAAAAGACTTACTACATTGTCTGGATAGAAGCATCGCTTATTTTATTGTCCCAAATCGAAAGCTTTATATTAATAGTTCCACGAAGCTCACTGAATTAAAATACTTCATAAAGTTAATAGATATCTCATCAATAAGTTTATAATTTAGAAATAAATAGTATAACTTAGACAATGCTGTCTTGACCCATCTCTTTGTCATCGAATTCAAACGAATCAATAATTACAAAAACTTCAGTAATCCAAAGTCGGCACCGTAATCTAATACTTGAAGAAAAGCGATTCAAGGTTACTTCGTTTAAACAAGAATATTTCCAAAATCAAAACTGAAAAAATGAATAACTCCATAAATACTTAGTTCAAGAGTATAAAAAAAAAGTAACCACAGCTACTACAATCAACTATTTTAATACAAATTATGAATAAATTAGACAAGAAAAAGACAATCTACTATCAGAATAAGATGATCTAAGAAGATAATTACAAAAACATACTTTTTTTATATAGCATCATTAGATTTTAATTTTTTTTTAAATATTTAATTATTTATACATTTGAATTTTCACTCTGTATTTTTGTATTCTAAATTATTTTAATTATCGTCACAAATTTAAATTGTTTTGTTTAGGTTCTATGCTATAAAAATATATTTATGATTGCTACTTTATAACTGATTGTAATTTTTTAATTTTGTTTTATTTTAAATTTTGTTTGGAAATTAATATATTTAATGAGATTACCTATGCGTTTTTATATTTTGTAACTATTTAAATTTTTATACAAATTTTGTAATAGATTTATACACCCAAATAATGAGAATTCACATTGTGCTTAGCAAAACTTGCTGTAAAGATCTACTCTCGAGCAATTCACCACAGAAACCGTAAGTTGAACATTTGTATCCCAACTGTATATTCAAATAATCCTCTAAAAAAAATCAACAGATTTGACAGATTTCACATTTTTCTCAAGATTATCAAATTTTTTTCTTGAAAACAAATATTTTTGTACTCTCAAAATCCTTTTCCTAACAAGCCCAGAGCTACGACTTGCAGTTCATCTTTGAACACCTCCTGCTCACCGTTTAAGGTTGAGTGTGCAATGTCATTAATACAACACTCAAAATTTTCAATTTTTAAAAATGCTTGCACATACGCAAACCACAAACACGGCTAGTGACTCAAATTTGAGCGCTAATCAAACCATTGTGTGGTTAGACCCAAAGAAATTTTATGTATTTCTTGCTATAGAAATATACAGTTCTTTTCATTTTTTAAGAAATGATTGCACTGATCCAACGCTTTACATATTTTAAAATATATTGGCCAAGTCTAAATAATTATTTGCCATACGGAACCAATTCAATGTTGAGAATGATAAAAAGTTACCCTTTTTATAAGTTAGCTCTTGAGCCGCTACAAATGCGAGAAACGATTCGCTGCTTTTCTGAGTCTTTCTAAATTTTCCTGTTATAAATAAATAAAAATCCAAACCTTATACAAATACAACAATCGGTTGAAGTGTGTGAAAGGCGAAAGGAGTTATCCAAACAGTAAGAAAGCTGAGTATAGTTAACCAAATTTTAACCAAGTTATTGGATTAATAGCAAATAATGAATACTGTAATATGAGTACTGTGTTCAAAAGATTTGAATCTGGCTCAAGAATAAAAACAAACCGATATAAACCCTCAAAAAGTTACTACAATTGATTGATGTTACAAGCGCAAATCGAAAATTTTTAATCAAGTTTTAATTATTTACTTATTATATTGAATTTTTTTTTTTTAATAATATATTGATATTTAGTTTACTTATGTTTTTAATTGTTTTGTAATGTATTTGAAATAATATGAAAATCGGAATCGAACACGTTGTTGCAGCCTCTCAATCTACTTATTTATTCTAGAGTTACGTTTCGTAGTCATTCAACCCACATTTGTTTTGCACGCCTACTCACCGTTTAACGTTGGGGGTGTGATATCGCCATGAATAAGCCGATATTTTATGTAATTATTATTAATATATTTTCTAATGATCGTACGAATGAGACGCAATGCAACAAAGTGTTAGTGAATGGTACAATTTGAACAACAAAATTGAATATAACAGTAATTATTACTATAATAATTTTATATAATTAATAAATAATAATTGAAGCGAACAAACGAAAGAGTAGAATGATGGTTGGAAGTGAATGAGTAATCGCACGTACGCGCTCGAATCGGATCAAATTATAAAACACCAGTAGCTTCCTCCACTAACGTAGAGCCTTTGTGTAAGCGTCTTGCAAATGTACATGAATTAGCTTCAGTCTCATTACAACCTGCTACCGATCGACAAGTGCGTGATTGTCCATTCACGCTCCACCTTTCAATTATCTGTATAGAAGTTTAAGAATGTGAGTAATAAACAATATTATTTATTAGTACGTAATTTCTATTTCTTCTTTCCAAAATGATTTCTATTTCTCTAATTCAAATATATACTTATTTAAAAATATATATATAACAAAATAAAATCATCAAGTCACTGCCACCATGCAATGAACAGTATTCTGTTTTGCATGTGTGAAAGTGATAATCAAAAATATAGATAAAAGGGTAAATACAGTAAATAAATATATGATTAACACAAATTCAACGATTGCCAGTGCTATGGGCTACTTGAGCTCGGCACAGAATCATGCAAGGCCAGTGCAACTCCCGTTGCATAATAACTATTCCTAATATTATTTCAAACTTTTATTATATTTGACACTTAAAATGCTCATGTCGCCCCCGCGACGTGACACGAGTCGAGCCACCACCCTGGATCTGACAAACTCATCCTCGAGGCCAGCGCTCGAGCTAATTTTGTGCTGCTTTTATGTTTTTTGAGAAATCAAGTTATCTTTTATTGATCACAGGCCATCAGCTGAGCCCTGAGCTCAGTACGAGTCGAGCTACCACCCTGGATCTGACAAACTCATCCTCGAGGCCAGCGCTCGAGCTAATTTTGTGCTGCTTTTATGTTTTTTGAGGAATCAAGTGATCTTTTATTGATCACGGGCCACCAGCTGAGCCCTGAGCTCAGTAAGAGTCGAGCTATAACCCTGGGTCTGACAAACTCATCCTCGAGGCCAGCGGTCGAGCTAATTTTTTGCTGCTTTTATGTTTTTTGAGGAATCAAGTGATCTTTTATTGATCACGGGCCACCAGCTGAGCCCTGAGCTCAGCACGAGTCGAGCTACCACCCTGGATCTGACAAACTCATCCTCGAGGCCAGCGGTCGAACTAATTTTGTGCTGCTTTTATGTTTTTTGAGAAATCAAGTGATCTTTTATTGATCACAGGCCATCAGCTAAACCCTGAGCTCAGTACGAGTCGAGCTACCACCCTGGATCTGACAAACTCATCCTCGAGGCCAGCGCTCGAGCTAATTTTGTGCTGCTTTTATGTTTTTTGAGAAATCAAGTGATCTTGTATTGATCACGGGCCATCAGCTCAGCTCTGATGTCAGCGAGAGCCGAATTACCACCCTGGGTCTGATCAACTGATCCTCGAGGCCAGCGGTCGAGCTAATTTTTCGCTGCTTTTATGTTTTTTGAGGAATCAAATGATCTTTTATTGATCACGGGCCACCAGCTAAGCCCTAAGCTCAGTGCGAGTCGAGCTACGACCCTGGGTCTGACCAACTCATCCTCAAGGCCCGCAGTCGAGCTAATTTTTCGCTGCTTTTATGTTTTTTGAGGAATCAAGTTATCTTTTATTGATCACGGGCCACCAGCTGAGCCCTGAGCTCAGTAAGAGTCGAGCTATGACCCTGGGTCTGACAAACTTATCCTCGAGGCCAGCGGTCGAGCTAATTTTGTGCTGCTTTTATGTTTTTTGAGGAAACAAATGATCTTTTATTGATCACGGGCCACCAGCTAAGCCCTAAGCTCAGTACGAGTCGAGCTATAACCCTGGGTCTGACAAACTCATCCTCGAGGCCAGCGGTCGAGCTAATTTTTCGCTGCTTTTATGTTTTTTGAGGAATCAAGTGATCTTTTATTGATCACGGGCCACCAGCTGAGCCCTGAGCTCAGCACGAGTCGAGCTACCACCCTGGATCTGACAAACTCATCCTCGAGGCCAGCGGTCGAGCTAATTTTGTGCTGCTTTTATGTTTTTTGAGGAATCAAGTGATCTTTTATTGATCACAGGCCACCAGCTGAGCCCTGAGCTCAGTACGAGTCGAGCTACCACCCTGGATCTGACAAACTCATCCTCGAGGCCAGCGCTCGAGCTAATTTTGTGCTGCTTTTATGTTTTTTGAGAAATCAAGTGATCTTTTATTGA